AATTATTAAAAATTATAATATATAAGGTAAGAAGATTTTAAACTATTTTAAATAGATTAATATTATATGAGTCGGTCCTACTAAAACCCAGATAGGAATAATTGTCAATGTTTAATTATTGGTTTTTAATTTAATAACATTTTAAAATTATTATAATTAACTTTGTTTGTTTATTCCGTTTTGCTTTAAACTTCTCATTTTTTTTATTTTTTGAATTTTTTATAAACTAAATTAATTAAATTATTTTAAATTTAATTTCTTTCCAAATTTATTTCACAAATTATTTTAATAGCACATTGTGTGTGTGTATATATATATATATATATATATATATATATACAGTTAAAAATAAATATTACAAAAGTTGCTTGATTAAGATTTTACTATAGACGTGGCCTAGCTTTTAATTTGGTTTATGTCCACTAATACTGTCAAATAGACTTTTCTCTCAGTGCTTATCATGTACGAATCTATGTAATAGTTGACAAGTATAGGACTTGCCTATTGTAGACACGTACTCTGATGTCATTGATAGTTGTGAATCCATTATTTAGTTAAATTGTTAGTAAAATTTTGAATTAGGGCAAATATTAATGCTAAAGCTTTTCACAATCGCAAAGAACATTCGAGGGCATCACACACACATACACACTCAGAAATCGATGGATTAATGGTTGATTACTCTGGTTATATAATTCAACAAGTCTTTCCTATATCTTTATAAAGATTTTGACGTGAATTTAAATATAATTTTTTGTTAAATAAATTAATCACTAAATACAAATCACTTTTGAATTATATGTCGTGTGTGTTTGTATATATTTTTGTTTGGAAACTTCCAAATGATAATTAAAAAAAGACATGTTTTTTGTAGTTATTGTTTTCAATTAGTGGATATTTACAGGGACACTACGAAGAAGTAGCAATGGAGATTGTGAAATATGGAAGCTCCTAATCAGTGGCACATGCAAAAACACGTTGTGTATGCTGAGAAACCATCGATTTATGATAGTGTTGGGAAAAGAAGGCACACATTGGCATCTTTTACCCAAAATAAATCCATTCATGTTTGACAGGTGTCGTTTTATGCTTCTCTATTATTTTACGTATGCAATTAAGGCAAAAAGACAAATAAGGCTCACGCGCGCGTGGCGTGAGATATGTGCGAAGAAGAAATTTTCTTATATGAGATTGAAAATTTGGAAGATGAAATGCGTGGCCGCAGAAGAGCCTCATGTTAACGATTCTCTATTATCTGTGAGTTAGGGCATAGTTCACCAGACCAAATCTAAAAGTAAGAGTTGAAGAGTTCATGATGTAGATAACCTTCTCAGTTCAACAAGTCACACCAAATCATAGTATAGTCTTATACGGATTTTAGTGTATTTTTTTCTCAGCAAAATAAACAGTTTATTAATTTGGGCACCAGAGTTACTTACACACATAAATAAATTAATAAAAATTGAAAAATAATTCTTGAAACATAGAAACATCGATCTTCAGTGTCATTTTATAATTAAAATGATTTTTGAAATGCATATATATATATATATGTATAATTAAAACTGATAAAGTTTGTATTTAGACATCATAAGTAACGTGAGATATGTTCCTTTCAAAAATAAAACATCATACGTATTCTCTATTGTTTTAAAAAATATGTAGTTCCTGTCTGACATCCTGCAAATTTCTAGAATACAATGGATCTTGTGCATAGTATGTTTCTAAATCATCTCAAATAAGATTTCATGACTTTGGAAACAATATAAAAGTTGGGCATATCACACATGAGAATGAAATCGTATGAATTGGCTGAATACATGTCCTACATACAATAACCAAACAAAAGATAACACTGAGTAAATGTTTTGCTAAGCTGTGTATAAAAATAATCAACTAACTCACGTAGCAAAAATGAAAATTTATTTAATTTACAGTATAATTATGAAAAGATGAGTAGACATGAAAATGCAGAGGCAGTGTGTGCCGTTGTGAAGAGGATCCCTGAGTCTTTGGAGAGGCATATCTGCAAAGACAATAATAGTGTATATAATTGATGTACGATGCTGGGAACAGCCTCTGATATTATTTTATTTACTGGTTTCATGACAATTGCCAAAAATAAATGAGGGGGGACACGTGCTGCACCTGTACAAGCACTCATTTCTTGACAGTGCTTTTGTCTTCATGCCCATATATTCTTCAACAAAACACAAGACTACCAAAATATTCTGCAACATTATCCGTAGAACCAAAATATATATATATAAAAACGTGAATTATGTACTTTATTGCATTATCCACGACCCATTCTGAATTCCGCTCCTTCTATTGTTTACTACTATCGATTCTTATGTGCAATTTATGACTAAATGGAAACAAAAATATATATATAGAAATAGATGAAAATAATTTGCATGAAGAGAAAGAGATAAAGTTTCTCTGACTTGAAGCTAGAGAAGAAGTGCATGAAAACTAACTTATCCTCCAATTTGTTTCAAACATCATGCATTGTACACTAAAAAGACTTGTCCAGTTACTGAGTTGTGATTCTTTTTAATATTTTCTTAGCCTTTTTTATTTTCTATGTAACTATGATGTTAATCTAATATCTGATTTAATTGCTATTTTTAACCCAATGGATTCTCCCTAATCTAATAACAGAAATAAAACATTGTAAATATTAATAATTATGCAATTATTTGAAATTTTAAAATTGAAATAAATTAATAATATAAACCAAATAAATTAATCATGATGGTTAGGCAAATGATAGGAGGCCAGCTAGGTTTTTATGGCCCATCAAAGGCGATAGCATCACCCGCATATAAATATAATGTTGGGTTCAAACAAATCTTGGCATAAAATAGACAAATTCGGCCCCAAAGGCCCATATATCTTTGGGTTTAAACCAACAGATCATTCAGTTGACGAAACAAAAACACTGGCAATTCATTTTGACCAAAACCCAAAACCAATAGTTTTTTTAAAACTTTAGATAGGTAGGCGTTGACAAAAAAAAAATAAAAAAAATAACACTCACATATATTAAATTAAATAAGTAATCTTTCAATCTTAACTAACTCTTAATATCTGTATTTAAACATCAATTTGATATTCTATTAACGTATCAAAATCATTAAATAAAAGTACAATTAAAAAGATAAATGTAAAGGTCCCGATGGATGTATCAACATAGAATTATAAAGAGTTAAATTAGTCAATTAAATTTAAATTTTAATGAGAATATTAGTAATAAACTGGAGAGATCAATGATTATTATTATTTTTACCATATAAACAATAAAAAAATTTATTAGAAATGTTTTTATGAAATTAATAATAAAAAATTAATGTAATGTTATTTCTTAATACTAGTGTTTTTAAATATTGTTATACTATTTAAAAAAGTAGTAACATGAAAAAAGTCATGATTGGAGAATGAGAAAAAATCTCACCACCTTAGATGAGAAAATTAATCAATGAAACTTACATAAAAGATCCATTTATTCATATAAAATAAAACTTGTAAACATGAAATTAAGGCATCACTTTTGTTAATATTGAAATATATTTTTGACATCTGAACCTAAATGACTAATTAATGTTGACTGTTGAATATACTAAATGATACAATCTTACCTAACATCACTTGCAAGGAGTTTTCATTTAGTATTTCCTAACAAAAATAAAAAGGTTTAATTCTGATGTTGAGGAATTGTCTCAATTAGGGTTTCGATTTCTGAATTTTTTTTATTCTAGCATAATAATAATAATAATCCTTATTTTTATTTTCCAATCATACCAACACATTTCTTAAATAAAATTAAAGATGTATATTATTATAAATGTATTTTTAAGTTGAATTGAACATTACAGTACACAAATGTCGTTAGATCTTTTAGATCTTCGTAATACACTTTTACTTATTATATTACTATTCATTATAGTATATTCTTTTAAATAAATTAAAGAATATTAATATGCAAGACATATGTAACAAATAAATACACAAATATGTATACATGCATTTACTAGTAAATTTTGTCTGTACTGTACAAGTATATTTAAATTTTAATAAAAATAAAAAGTATGAATAGTTTATATAAAAACATATACAGAGTATTGGTTATTTTATAACTTTTTTAGAATATTTTTAAACTTCCCTAATTCTTTTCTGTAATAAAATGCAAAAGATGCGAGACTACGTGCATTATGTAATTAAGAATTTTTTTAAATGTCAAATCTTTTTTTTAATATCAAATCTTTTTTTTTCTACTTTGACTAATCAAATATATAGAAAATTTCCTCTAGAAAAACAAGAGCCTAAAAAGGAGAAGATAAATGCTAATCAGTACTTTTAGAATATTAATTAAAATTTTATTAAATTTTTTTAAAAATTATTAATTGCACATGTATAATAGTTTTTCATATATTTTTAACACATTTTAATTATTATTATTTTTATTTTCAATTGTTTAATCAGTGAGAGAACCAATTAGTAAGACCTAAAAAAGAGAAAGCACGTATAACATATAGTCCGCTTATTCTAAAATTAAATATTTTTTATTAACATTATTTTGAAAGTCATTAAACATAATTAAAATATATTTTAAAATTAATTTGTCATAAATTTGAAAAAACTCAAAATTAATTCTAGAATCATTAAATACAGTCAATATATGTGTATATATATTGACTAAATTCAATGATTTTAGAATTCATTTTAATTTTTTTTGTTAAAATTATATATATATATATATATATATATATATCATAAATTGTAATAAACTGAAAATTAATTTTAATAGAAACTCAAAATTGATTATAAAATCATTGAATATAATTGAAATATGCATCAACATTAATCTTAACCATAAATTTGAATAAGAAAATATGTTTATTAAAAGAATGAAAATGAAAATTTAAAGTAAACAAAAGATAAGCATGGAGGAAAAGAAAAGCAACAGGGAAAAGGACAGGAATACTTACTTTAATCACAGAGACATATTCATAATGAATCCCTTGAAGCTTGAAACGGATTTTTGATTTGATCATTGAGATGGAGACAAAGAGGAATGTATCTCTAACCAGGATTTGTGTACTATTTCTATCTATCCCAGTCACCAACCTTTCTTCAACTTTCTCCACTTTCCTTCATTCCTTTTGGTTCTGCTGACCCCATTCTCTCTCTCTCTCTCTTCTTTTTTCTTTTTTTTATAGCAATTCTTGAGTCAACTTAACATTACTTACATTACACACTCAAGTTTATCCTCTCACACTCTTCAACCTTCAAACTTCCGTGTTTTCTATTGGATACTTGCACCCCTTGTTGAAAAGTCAAAATTCCCATTAACCCCTTCATTTTATTCCTTCAAACATTTTCTCCCTTTTTCTTTTTGCTCCAAAGTTTCGTTCTTCTCTACCTCTTCTGATTCAAAGTTTCAGTCTTTTCAATTGGGGTGCCCTGAATTTGCGTCCAAGTTCAGATCTGTTTACTTGACTCTTCATTCAAGTTCAAGTACGTGTTTGTCTCCTTTTTTGGGTTTCAGATTCTGGGGTTTTATGTTGTGATTTTTATTGGGTTTGGTTTTAATTGCATTGGTTGCTGTTGTGTAAAAATGTAACCACTTTTGTTAAACTGTGATGCAGATTTTTCTTGTGGAGAAAAAGACTGAACTAAAGGATTGTGTTTGTGACTGTAGCTGTGAACTAAAGGTGTGATTTTGAAGGACTAAAGTGGTGTGAATGTGGTTTTAATCTAAATTAAAAAGCTATTATTACAGATAGAAAAATTTGGAGATTCAGAGAATTGATGCTCGAATTACTGAGAAACTGAAGATTTTGATCATGATTGTGAGGAAAAACATGGGAAGGGCAAAGTCACTACTTGTGCTGCTTATGGTGCTTGGATTTTGCCTTGCCACATATAATTTGGTAGCTATGATCACAGAGCATAAGGTAGGAGGTTGGGGTGATGATGGGTTGGAATCTTTTGATAGAAGAGTGATAGAGTCAGAAAACTATTATTCGAAATTCCATGTTGCACTGACATCAACTGATGCTGCTTATAGCCAATGGCAGTGCCGGATTATGTACTATTGGTATAAGAAGGTGAAGGACATGCCTGGATCAGACATGGGAAAGTTCACTCGCATTTTGCATTCAGGAAAGGCTGATCAGTTAATGGATGAGATTCCTACTTTTGTGGTTGATCCACTTCCTGAGGGCTTGGATCGGGTATATAATTTTCTGTTCCGCTTCCACAATTTGTATTTTTTCAGTCCTTTCAATTTTTTTTTAAAATTTATTTTGGGGTGAATTTCTGGCCAAATAATATGAAATTTACAAATTCTGACATATTTGGAGGAGTGGTGGGAGGGAAAAGCGTGATGATTGTTTGTTTGCTTAAAATAAGCTGTTCTAACTTAGTTGTGAAATAGGATGAACTTATTTGTGAAAATTCAGCTGTCTAAAAGGATCGCTGAATGATTGTGGCCATTTCAAATGTTTTTCTCGCCATAGATACAGTCCAATTTTTTCTAAAACTGGTGAGGAAATCTCTTTTTTCTTTGATAAAAATGCAATCAGATGTGTGGAAAGGATGATAAGATTGGTTTGCATGATGGTTTTGTTTGAATATCTTGATTTTTCAAAAAATTTTCTACTGTTATGGCTCTGATTATTTTAACTATTTGGTGTTTTGGCATTTAGTCTACCTTACATTGCAGGAATAATGATTGCCTCTAGTTTTTGGATTTGGAAAGTCATTTTTCCAATTTGTTTTCTTGCTGTCGCCAAATTATCTTAATCTGTATTTGAAAATATTTTTATGGAATTTTCATTACTTCAGATTTAAGTAACTGTCTTGTCACTTCAAGTTATGGATACTTTTATTGGTGATGGTGATTGACACAACTGATTTTATATCCAAGTAGTTTGCTGCTACTGTTTACGGTCTGATGCAAAAAATTGACCGTGCAGTAGGGACAAAGAAAACTGAAGTGCAGAAAGAAATTATTTGCACCTAGTACCCTGAAAAAAAAAAAAAAAAAGCAGATCTGTACCAGTGAAACGATTACCCTTTCTATATTGGTGGATTTTACCTTTGCAACGGCAAGCTTGTTGACTTAACATGTTTTGAACTGTTGATAATTATCAACTCTATCATGAATGGCATTGCTTGTGACCTTTCTATGTTATTCCTTACAATTAAGTTGTCATCGAAATTTATGTCCTCTTGTTTTTGGTCCAGGGTTATATTGTCCTAAATAGACCATGGGCTTTTGTTCAGTGGCTGGAGAAAGCAGATATTGAGGAACAGTAAGTGTCTTAATTCTGGTTTTCTAGAATTTTCATGCCCTCCAATAATGAAATCTAAGAAGCAGTGCATTTTATGATTGGTGCAGATATATTCTGATGGCAGAACCTGACCACATATTTGTAAATCCTTTGCCAAATTTGGCTTATGGAACCCAGCCTGCCGGGTTTCCATTTTTCTATATAAAACCAGTTGAAAATGAAAAAATAATTAGGAAATTCTATCCTAAGGAAAAGGGTCCTGTTACTGATATTGATCCAATTGGCAATTCTCCTGTAATCATTCAGAAGGTGAAGTCTCAATTAATAGCTTGCATACGATGCCTGGTTGATTTTAATTGTTATACTGTGACCCTTATAGCTGTTATGTTTACTGTTACAGTTATTATCAGATTTACCTGATTTTCCTCAATGTAGTCTTGCATTTAAGGCATTGGTTTTTTTTTTTTTTTACCAGTCTTTGATGGAGGAAATAGCTCCCACGTGGGTGAACATTTCATTGAGAATGAAAGATGATCCAGAGACTGATAAAACTTTTGGATGGGTGCTTGAAATGTGAGTATTGCTATTGAAGTTCAACATTTGGGGCTTTATTTCTTATTACTTTTCATTTATTGATATTCTTTTCATTTTATAACTTCTTGTGGACCCTGGTCAGTACTAATAGGTCTAACCTTCTGCTGCTTTATTTCTCTGTTGAGTAAAGGTATGCTTATGCAGTGGCATCTGCATTGCATGGTGTAAAGCATATTCTTCGAAAAGACTTTATGCTGCAGGTTTGAATTGCTCATGTTATCTTGTAATTTCAATTACTCCCCCTCCCCTTCTCCTTCTTTTGTAAGAGGAGGTTTGCTTTGTTACTTGAGGAAGTCATACATAACTCCATAATGTGCATCATTGGAATGTTTCAGCCACCTTGGGACTTACAAATTGAGAATAAGTTTATAATCCATTTTACATATGGATGTGACTACAATTTGAAGGTGAGTTTGTTTTTCCTTTTTATGAGTTTATGTGAAAGTTACATAGAGAAACTATATTTCTGTAGTTAGTATTCTCTTTGCTTATGTCTTCTCCATATATGAAATGTCTCTTGCATGCTTATTTGTTTTATTCATGTTATTTTACTCATTATGTCTTCCTCCAGGGGGAACTGACATATGGGAAGGTTGGAGAATGGCGTTTTGACAAGAGATCTTATCTTATGGGTCCTCCACCTAAAAACATCTCCTTACCGCCTCCAGGAGTTCCTGAAAGTGTGGTAAGTCCACGCCTTTGAATTTTTTTGAGTGCCATGCTTTGTAATTATTAATCAAAGCCATCTTGTTAAGTTGCTGTTGGAAAATTGCTATTTCCCAAACAGTTTAAATTTTTGTCCTCTTTCTTGATCTTAATGTTCCTAAATCACTATTATCACCTTAAGGCCAAGCAATTGTCTATGTAATTGTTAAAAATGATACTCATTAACACTGAGTGACCAATCATCTTTTTCTCTCATGTCACGTGTTCTCTAAATCCTCTATAAGGGGAGGAAATTTAGTGCCTTCTGTACTTCCACCCTTGCCTTTTTATTTCAGCCTCCCTCATTTTTAACATTTCGCTTTAAAAATGAAAAATGTAAAAGAAAACTTTTAAGAATGGCATAATCAGTTGATTTTTTTTTCTTGGAAAAGCTTTTTCAATTATTATTTATTAAAAAAATCTGATCTAATATATGAAAAAAAGTATTTAATCCCTTTTTCTAGACAATTGGACAAGAATTAAAAGCTAAATTAAATATCACCCTTAAACAATTCAGATTTTGTCTCTCATCAGAAGTTTATTTTAGAATTTTGATTTTTGTGAGTTCAATTAGCATAAAGAATGTTCATGAGAGATGGCGATAAAAAGAAATAACTTCACAAATTTTAGTTTGAATTAGAGGTGATGAAACTATCAAGACCAACATTATATTGAAGTGCAACCCCTCCCCCATTCCTATATTATTCTAACTTTAGCATGTGTAGTGGTTTAAATAATTAGATGTACATCAGCAAATTGCCATTACCAAACCTAATCAAATGCTAATCATGTCCACACATAGGATGCAAATGTATCCGAATCAACTAATTATTTTGGGTAAAGTCTATTTGTTGCTGAGGATGAATTATGATTGAGAGATAGCATGGCCGTTTGAAGATATATGCAATATCAGCAAACTTTTTGTTGCCTTTGTTTTTCAATTTGGGATAATAAGGGGAAAACATGGACAATTGATCATAAAATGGTTACTTCTTTTTGGCATGCTGTGTTTTTTTCTTTTCTTTGCTTCATGCCTGTTTTTAATTATAACGTTTTCATGTCATTTAATTATGAACTGAGATATTAATGTTATGCCGCCACTACAAGGAAAAGTTAGCCTCTTTTTTGTGACAATGACATCTATTATAGCATTTAGTGAAAATAAATTGAACAGAAAGATTGGCTTTAAGTGTATGATCGAGTTTTTAGGTGAAATTACATAGTTTTTACAAACCGTAGGTATTTTAACTGAAGCTGCAGTTATGCCATTGTGTTAATTTTATTGCTAGATTTTGTATAATTTTTTTCAGGTGCGGCTTGTAAAAATGGTCAATGAGGCAACTGCAAACATACCTGAATGGGACTCATTAAATAGAAGTTGAGGGAAAGATAATAAACCATGACACCTTACGCCCCTGATGCCAGTGACTTTAAGATGAGGTCTACAAATACATGTCAAAATAGATTACTTTAAGCAAATAGGAATTGTGATGAATACAGTGATGTTTTGTGCTTGCTTCTGAAAATAGAATTTGTTTTTTTTTAATAGCCAGTTAATTCTTTTGCATTCAAAAGTGTACAAGACATTTCTACAATCTATTACATTTATTTTTACCAACTGATTGTTAGTGCAAGCAATGGAATTACATCCTGTCCATTTTGTTTTAAACAGCTCAGCCACCTCTGTCATTTGTGTGACAATTAGTGTTTATATTGTAATTATTTTAAACATTTAAATTACTTAATTTGTGATCATATAATTAGAGTAACATATACTCAACGTATTTATACCGTGTAAACTTTGTTTATTATATTTATTCAGTCTAATGAATAATTTGTCATATAATAGATATGTTTTACTTTTTTATATATAAATTTACTAATATACTCAACAACCGCAAACATTATCAATCGATATTAAGGGCTAAACTTTTTAAAACAAAACATTTAATAAATTTTTCATTTTTTTTATTAATTTATTATGAAATTTACAAAGTTTCATAAAAGCTAAAAGTTAATATTTTATCGTGCTTTATTTAATAAAAGTTCATATATATAGTGAAAGAAGTTTTTTTTTATTTAAAAACAGGATAAAAATACTTTGATTACTAAGTTTAATCATAAATAATTAAAATCAAAACATAAATTATATATATTTTTAAATTATGACATCTCAATTTTTAATCTTTGCTACTCTCCGAGCAGAACAAGAAACACGCTCAGCCCGAGATGATCATTCGTATAAAAATTATACGGTGCTAAGTCACTTCTTTTACTCACTATTTTGACATTTCAGCTTCATTATTACGCAAGGATTGGTCAGATTCTGAAAATACTGATGACTATCTATTACTAAAAAATAAATAAAATATTTCGTGTTCAAGAAAATACAAGTCAATAGCTCACAAAGCATAAACTTCAAGAGATTACCCCACTTTCCAAATCAAATGATTAATATTCTGCCATGGGATCTCCACGGTTGCGCATTAAAAGGATCGTGGTACATTGTACCACTTTATATATCTTTTGTCCGTTAATGCACAGAAATGGTGTATTACATCTTTTCGTTTAAGCCAAGTGGACCACGGAGTATGACTGGTTGCAGAAACTAAGTGGAGTAAGGAAAAACGAAAACTGAGTGGAAACGTACTTGCTAAAACATTTTACAAGCACAAATAGGTAGGTATGTCGTTCTTGTCTAGATGTCCTTTTCAGTTCTTTCCACCGGAAGTGGATAAAAGTAAGTAATTGTCATTTGTTTCTACGGTAAACCATTGGAGAGCATGCAAACGCAAGACGAAAAGGAGAATCTATTCGTAAAATAAAAGGACGAAAAATGAGCCAAAAATCTTATCATGAGTCAAAATATAATATTAGAATAGTAAGAAATAAATAGATACTCATAGTATCTATTATTATATTTCCTAGAGAGAGCAAAGACATATCCACAGTCCACCATCCAACAGGAATTATTAATTGTAGTTCGAGAAAACCCCGACAACGAAAAAGGGAGAAAGTGAACCGTATATCACTGTTTATATAAAAAAAACATTATATGAACCTCATCAACGATAAGAACTACTAAGCATATGTACTTACTCAAGATGCCCCATAGTGTTATTATCATATCCCATTATCCAGCATCAGACAACCACTTCACACCTACCAATCTTCCCAACTTGTCCGAAATTTGAGGTAGATGATGGTATCAATTCTTACAGGCACAAGCTGCACCATTATGTCAATTCCACAAGAGATGTGAAGAAACCATACCGCCAATCCCAGAAGATACATACAAGCTCCAAGATGACTGGATTTTATTTATTACCTTCTATCCACCCCAAACCAGACAACGCTTTTACTTATGAAATTCCAACTGTAAAGATGCTTGTTTATCTTCCTTCCCCTGGACTTGGGAGCTCAGCAAATTCTGCAATAATTTACAAGCAAATTCTGCAAGAGTAAATTTACCAGTAAGCACACAATGACCAATCAACAGTTCAGAAGATACAGCCACGATTCCTAACACCTCAGAACACTGTTTACAAAGATAGTAATAGAAGCCAGGATAAACAGAAGCAAGACAATTAGATATACACAAGATGGGATCACGGGAATTTGAAAATTCAGTTAAAGTGGATAACTGTGGCATGCAAGATTGTCCAAATTTCAATTTGTGTAAGTTTTAGACATCATCAGTAAAAGAAATTTTTGGCACCCACCATTTGTAGTAGGAAGATCCTGCAACATGTCTAGGTCAAATAAACTCCAACAACATTCATCGACAAGGCAGCAGAGTAGGAACTTTGAAGGGTGGCAAAGGATGCAGCACATTTGTAATAATCCCTTCAAGGACCTCAAATATGTAACTATATTAGCAATCCAAAAATTACACAAAATGAAAGGTATCCATCAAATAAACAGCAATAAATCCAGACTGGAAGCATACCATCAATATTCTCATACTGTCATCACACAAAGTGTCGACCTGTCCAGATTGACTGTCCTTGAAATTGTTCAGGCGGTGGAGTTAAAAGCTGATTTCCAGTTGTGAGTGGTTGGTGTAACTGCAACTGCTGATTATGGTGTGCTTTTAAAAGTTCAAATGTCTGATAATCTTGCCAACCATTCAGTTTCTCCACCTGCAGAGTAGATGGAACTTGTTTTCCAGGAAAGGGAAAACAGACCGTCCCACTCAAACCATTGTTACTGACTAGATGAAAATTTGACTGAGAGTAAATAGGAGGACCACTTGGGCCTAAACCATTGGTTGATGTAGCAGGCAACTGATATCCATCCAACCAGCTGTAATCATCCATAATTGGATTCTCACTAACAGAATTGGAAACAATGGGTTCAATACCTTGTTTAGGAGGAACATGAGTGAAACCAGGAGGAGGTCCAAGGTGCCTAGAAGGTCGGCTGACTGGAGATTTTTTCAAACCAGCTTGCAAGGTTGATGATGTCTTTATAACAGAGTTATCAGTAAAAACTCCAGAAGATGCAATGGCATCAATTTTAGATGATATTGCAAAATCTTCATCTTTTGAGAGACCATGACCATAAAACACACTAGTCCCGGCACTTACAGATTGCTGGATAGGAACTGTAAGGGCAGCATGGTTGGAGACTGCCAAAGCTTCTTGTAGTGGTTGGTCAGGTTTCATCGTGTGCCCATTCTCCAACAATCTAAGACCTTTCAAACTGTTGGTAAGAGATATTTCCTCCTCTAACCACCTTAAAGAATGTGGCTGAACTGATTGCACGTGTTGAGGCACAACAGCACTAACAGAACCAGGTAAAGGAATTTGATGTTTAGCATCATTCTGAGGATTATAAGTAGAATTACAGTTAAAATTTATATTCCCTCCCGAGGCTCTTGGAACTGATTCTAATCCTTCATGGGGTGCCCGTGATGAGGCAAGCACCACATCAGTTCGTTTCTCAGCTACTATAGGTTTGAAAACAATAACCTCATCATCATCCTCTCCTTCCATATACTGGTGGTGGTCTGGATGATCAATTCCCACCTTTGTCTTGTCAACTACTGTATTTTCTTTCAATAAATCTTCTGCATCAGGCGTACTTGAATAGGAGGAAAGAACAAAATCGTCCGAGTTTTGAGGTTGAATACCAATTACAAATTTCTTTCCACTTGAGTCAAAATATATCATTTTCTTATCAATCTTAACAACATTTGCTAAAGCCTTTCCTGCAGCTAAAATCCTTTTGACCCGAGTTTTTCTTTCCTTTTCACTGTCACTTTCAAGGGAATGCTTCCTTGAAAAATCCAAGATGGTTTGTGCAGGGAGAAGTGGAACAAATCCTCTTAACTCAAAGTCCTCCAATAAAGCAAGGCGGTTTTCAGTTTCCCCTTCTTCATACCTGCTCATGTTATTAAAGCAAGTGTCCTCTTCATCGTCTTCAAGAGGCATGGGTCCAACCGAAAGTAGCTTGTTCAATAAGGATATAAAATGATTCCAAAATTTTGATCTTACAGTTGCCTGATTCTCATCCACATCATTGCCTGCAGCATGATCTGGATAACATGCCAACCACTCAACAAAAACCAAAATGCCTGGTAAAAGATAACTACAAGAAGGATCCTGCAGCTGCACACATCTCTCGACCAATAAACTCATCAATTCAAAAGCTGCAATGAATGCATTCTGAAGTAGAACAGCACGCTGTACAATTTCTGCATAAGTTTGACCTTCAGATTCCTTATTCACATTATGAACTGTAAATATGATAATGGAAACAATTTTGACAATGGCAAATCTATTCTCAAGAGTATCAGTGCCAAAATTCAGCACTTCATCTTGCCCTGATGACAGAAGCTCCATTAGGGCAGCACTAAGAAGAGAGAGAACTTCAGTGAAGATCTCCAGGCTATCATCATGAAATGTGAGAAAAAAAAATTAAACAAAAAGTCAGAACACAATAATCATGATTGGTTTAATGCATAGAAATGTGAGTAAACTCTGCATCAAGAATATATACCTTGTTCGAGTGAATAAGATTCCATTTAGCCGGACAAGGCGCATGCAAAAGGATTTGTAAGTGTCTTGTATATTGGATGTTCTGTCCTTTCTAGGGTAAGTTTCTTCATCAGCATCCCTGGCCACAAATTTTGCTTCCACTTTTCCTCTTCCATTGACAGCTAATTGTCCAGAAGATTCTTTGACTTTAAGAGCTTTAACGTCACCAGAAAGCTGAGAGTAACTTTGACGATTCTATCACAGTATTATAAAGGAGTTAGGAAAATATGAGGCTGAAAAGATCATAGATCATATAAAATTATATAAAAGAGAAGGGAAAAAGTCAACAACACACTACAGTATGAAAATAAACACAGGATTATGCTCAAGGACTAATTCTTCATCCTCAACCATGCCAAATAAACAGAACTCCGTTGTGTGAAAAGGTATGCTGTGTTGTAGTTTTCATCCATATATCAAATAAAATTACATACTTATAATGCATGCAAAAATCTACCGTGCACAAGACTGAATAACCTATAAATCAATGCTTGAATAACTTGGAAGCCACTATGAAATTTACAACTTCCAAACTTTTAATGCATTTGGCTTTGAGTATCAAACAGTACAAGTAGTAGAAAAGACTGAGGTATTGTTTGAGCTTAAAAGCTATAGCAATGCTGAAGTTAAAAATACGAGCTTTAAACTTGAAGTCAAAGCTTTTTGGTAATTCTATAATATTTTAACCTTAAAAGTTGAGTTAAAATTTCTTGGCTGGATCTTAGGATTTGAAATAAAGAAGGAAAGAAAAAGTGGAAATTAATGACTAAGCTTTTTCAAAATCTCCTTTTCTTAAAATTTTGTTTGGCCTTGCTTCTACTTTTAAAGAGTCAAGATAAGCCCAAAATAAGCTGGGCCAAACATTATTTAAACTTGAAACATCAAAATTGTACTTCAGTTTGCAAGTGAGCAAAAACACCAAAATTTAACACATAAAAAACAAACAAGATACATACTTCTCAAACAACTGAGACTTCTAAATAAAAAAATGTAAACATTTCTAAATAAACTCCATGGTCACATTACCTTCTCAAATGCAACTATCAAATTATCTCTGGCAGTTGTAAATGGACTCTCTACAGCTAGACTCCGAAAATAACGATAAATAGCTGCCAGCTCATCCCCAGAATATGAAGCCAATAAAGCAAGCTGAAAATAACAGACTCATCAAACTGGAGCACAGCCGCTATGAACCAGGACTCAACATTAGAAGTCAAGCAACCAAAAGCAATACTACAGAAGACATAGGAATGCCAAAAACCTGATGATGGGGATTCCCACTTGAAGGCCAAATAGATGCAGCCTGTAAATAGTAACTAGAAGCTGCTGCAAATTCACGTTGTATTGAGTCACCTTCACCATATAAGCCTTTGTAGCGAGCAAGATCACCCAAGTATATCAAACAACGATGACAAGATATTAAACCTTTCTTCATCTCAGCAGATTTCTTTCCATCTTTCTCCATCACAATTCGATTCTCCGACTCCTCAAAATAACCAAGTGGAAGGCCGTACTTTGCTCTGATTTTCATAATAAGATCATGGTAAAATCCAGTTGCTTCTGAAAGAAAAGTCTTAAACTGCAGTCTTATTTTAGTTATAAGATCAGGTCGAACAGGACCTTTCCCTCCCTGAGATGATTTTGAGCTTACAGAAGTATGAGCAGCATTAAAGTATGCTCTCAATTCCTCAATCCGCTTATAATGCAATTGCCACAGAGCATACTCAATATTATGCTGCTCAGAAAACGCATGATCCTCAAGAATTATTGCTTCATAGTTCTCACGCATCTGTGGCCAAGCATTTGGATCTGATGGGACTTGCGCCTGAGCTGATCTCCGACGCTTATTCTCCAATTCAAGGTTCTAAGTGAGAAAATGTTAAGAGATAAAAAATATATCTTTCAGAATCATTTCACAGAAGAAATTCCTAATTAAGTTAATTAGAAGAACAAGTATGCCACAGCACACAACAAAACAGCAGGTTATATGTTCTACATGGCTTGGTATGGCAGACAGCAGCAAGTAATGGGTTCCTAATTTTATTAATTTATTTAAATTAAAAAACTCAACAAGTACTATCTAACCAGAGTGATGCTGGCTGCCAAAGGCCACCTTAAATCAAAGGGCCAAAATATGCAATGCTTCTTGGTAATAATAGTATACACCATATACACCAGAGGGTACTAATTAAAAAGGTCCAGCATTAATCCCAAAAATGATGTCATAGTAAAGAGAGCAAACTCAACAGCAATCAGTTAAATCCATTCTTCTAAGATCTAAATGGAACAACAAACACCAGAGCATATCCTCCAAAGTGTAACTAATATTAACTGCTGATGAACCCTTGTTCAGTGAACACATTTGTGAGGCTGTCTTCTCAGTGAGAGAGATAGAGAGGAGTACCTTCTCAAAAAGGCGTTGTGCACGCTCCCGTGATGGAGGAGCAGACATTTTATCCATCTCTACTATCATCATCCATCAAATATTTATGGAGTAAACTCAAGCTACACAAAACCTGCAAAATAAATAAATAAATAAACAGAAAAGTTCGAAGAGTCAGGTTTCACGTAACTGAGATAGAAACTAACACGGCTGTCATTGCACCAAATGCATTGATGATAAAAAAAATAGCTATGGCCTCCACATTCAATGTACAGATTGAAAGTGAAATTCAAAACTATAATTCAATAAAACACCCAGTTATACAAATTTAGCCCCCTTAAATGATGATTTTCCCAAGGACTTAACAACTGAGCAATCGAAATTTCAAAACAAAGCTCCATCAAATACTTCTCCAGATATCAAGTTGAACATTGAGCTCTGGCCCCATTCACAATCATATTCCCGGAAACCAATAATTAAATTATCAACTCCAAAACGGAGTTTTCTCCAGGTATCCACTGGCAGAGTAATATCATGAAATCCCTCATAGGAAGGGTTCCATTTCAAGGGGTGTACAAAATGTGACAAAACACAAGAGCAAATATGCTAGTACTGAAAAACAATACCAGATCCGCGAAATTCAACAATGATACAATACACATGAACGACTCAGCTACAAATTACCAATAAATGATGAAAAAAGGTGAAAGGAAGCTTCGCGAACAGAATACAAAACAATTGGAAATGGAAAAACTCACCGATGCAAGAGGATCGAAGGATGGAGGTAAAAGTGTTTGTGTTGGGTAGGGTTTGGATGTGTGAGAAGAAAGAGGAAGAAAAGGAGTAGAAGGGGGCGTGGAAGTGGTTGTTGTGTTGGTCCTAAGCCGATAACGCGTCTCTATTTCTTCTTTCCAGGCAAGGGGTCAATGTTTAACGACGCCGTTTAGACTACCCTTTTCCTTCTCCACTTTGATGTTTGAGTTGACCTCCGTTATCTTATGTTATTTTCTCCTTACTTTGTTTTTTATTATATTAAAATTTAAATACTACTGATAACATATTCTTCAAGATAGTCTCTCTAATATATTATTCATTATTTACTAAAATTTATCAAACATTGTAAAATTAAATATATGAAAAATTATTGATTTAAAAATGAGAAAGAGTGTACTATATAATTTTTTGTATTTTTTAATAAATTTTAATCAATAATAAATAATATATTAAAAATATATATCACTAACATTTTTTAAAAAATTTTATATTTTGTATACTGTCACGCCAAACACAAATAATTTTACTGAACTTTAAAACAAACTAGGCAACCAGTGCTTAGTAGATCTTTAAACCCATTTATACATTAAACCCTTAAATATTTGAATTTTAAAATTAATTTTATACTTTACTAAAAAATATATTCTGATGTAAATATACAATTTATATTAACTTAAATATATTTTTAATCATATTTAAAAATTTAAAATTAATTTTATTATATTCTAAATTAACAGATGTTTGAATTAACATAAAATGACATTGAGCCAAGTATTGAGGACTCCTGATTACCTGTCATTGAGTATTAAAAAAAGGGTAATTTTTTTAATGTGTCAAACTATAGACAATAAAAATATTAAAAATTACAATATTTAATATTATTAATATATTAAATTTTATGATATTGATATAAAAAATGTAAAATGTTATAATTTTTAAAAAATATTATACATATTTTTTATCATACGCTGTCCAACTCATCGATTAAAATTTAGATATTATAGACATTTTTTAATACTATTTTAAAAAATTTAAATTTATATTAATTTTTAATATCAATTTTTATGAGATGAGTTGTTAAAATAAAATTGTCAACAATTATAATTTTAGTTAAAAAATAATATAACCACACTCTCTCTTGTCTAATGTAATCACCGCCCAGCCCAGCCCAGAGCCGAGCCCAGGTCCATATCTGAATCCGAACCCCACCTCCCTTATTCAACCCCCGTCACCACTTCCGGCGACCATTTCCTCCGAATTCCGGCGACGCCACGCTCCTGAGATCGGTAACGTCTCTATCTCTCGCTCTACGTGCATCTTCAATTTTTTATATTTCTCTTTTTGGATCGATTTCTATCTGTTACTGAAAACCAATTTGAGATCCCACCGCTGTAGTCTTCTTCACTGAACTCTTCGACAATCTCTTTCTGGGAATCCCGAACGTTCTCTTTCTATGAATCGCTCGGTTCAATTTCACATTCAATTTAGAATATTTTCTTTTTTCTCTCTCAGCATTCATAGCGTGTATTTACCGTGCTTCGCTTGCACGTTTTCATCAGTGTTGTCACTGAAGTAGAAGCGTAGAATATTTTTTCATTCACTGTTAAAATCAGTAACAACTGTAGAAGAGAATTGTGATTGTGCTGCGAATCCGTGGCCTGTGGTTACTTCCGAGTGTTCTCAATCGTTGTTCTGTCGGAATTTGATTATTTGAAATTAAAGAAAGCTGGAATATATTCCTGTCAAAGTTAAAAATGTCTATATGTTTAGTATTTCTACATTTTTCTCTTCGCTTTTGTGAATATCAACTTTCTAATTGTTAGTGTATTACTTTATTTGCTTCTGTTTCCCCCATTTTTCTAACTATATTTTTAATCATACCTTATACAACACTTGTAGCGAATATTAAATATGTGATGGCGTGATTTGAAATAGTTTGATCGATCCAGTGCTCAGTACTGTATTGGTTTTTGTCAAAACTTAAGTTCTGGTTTCTAGGGCTTAGCTTTTGATCACGTAACTTTTGTTCAGGTGGGTTAAGGTGTGATTAAGGGGAATAGCCAAATAGATTTCTAGTTTTGTTGAGCCGTGGATTGGGTATCGACTAGTGAAGTTGCCAGCTTTATCATAAGAATGCTATACTTGATATGTGTGCAGACAAAACTTATGTTGGGTTTTCATTTCTTTCTTGACTTAGCCTTTTATCTTTAGGTTAAATAGGTGCTACCGTGCAATTTAGCTACAGAAAAACCCAAAACTATTCCTACGTAATTTATTGATTAGAGGAGAATGTAGTGCTATGATTTTTTGAGTTTACTAACTGATGTCTGATGTGAGGTTCTAAAATCAGAATGGCTGAAATTTTTAGTTGGGCAGTTATATCTTATATGCACACCTTCTAAATTCGTGGATAATTGTAATTGCTCTTCTGTTATTCAGTTATACTTGAATTGGTATATCATTGGGTTTCTTTGCTACTCTTTTAAACTTTTGTTGTATTTTTGCCTGTACTTTTTTCTCTTAGCAAAAGAAACGTTATATTTGAAACCTATTTCATTTGAAAATTATATTATATTTTGTGGGTGGGTAAATTCATGTTTAGAATTCACATGCTTTGTTCAGTGGGAGCTGAACATTTTTTCTTACTGAATTCTTAGCAGTTGGTTGTCTCAGGATGTTTTCTTGGATTAAGATTTTCTGTGGTGCTGGTATCACACTATGATCTTTAAATTAACCTGTCCATAGAAAATATGATTCACATTCATTTGTTAACTGAGTTTTGTTATTTAATTATCTGTTTCAGAGAAGGCAAGGTGCTTGAACATCTGAATTGTTGGTAAAATGGTTTCCTTTGAGATGAATGATCGAAAGAGTAAGTGGAATATGATATTTTTGTTCATGTTAAGAATAATGATATTATATGAAGTGATCTGCTGTCTTTAATGCTATGTGTAAGAATAAATTATTCTGGAGTTAGCTATACTTTAGTTTCATAAATTACTTAACATATCTAGTTATTCAGTGGAAGGGGAAACTGGTTTTGATTTATTCTAATGCTGTTCAATTTTTTGTTTTGGGGGGCTTATTTCTCAACCTTGCATATTGCTTGGGTTTTTTTTAATAGTCAACTAGAGGACTTAAACTAGAAAGTTTGGGAAAGACTTGTTCTAGAGAATATAAATGTTTTCATTATTGAAAGAGCTTTGTGGTTCAGTTTAAACAATGTTTATACCTAATTCTGACATTTATTTTGTACTACCCTTAGTTATTAAATATGGGTTTACATTGTTACTACCTCTGTGTTGCCTATGTCCAGGGCAGGGAAGGGTCGAGGCCCATTGTATGGATCTATAATAGAAGCCTTACCTTGCATTTGCTAGTGACTAATTTCACAACTCAGACCTGTGACCTCTGGATCACATGGCAACAACTCCAAACATTATACCAAGCTCGGGTTAAATAGAAGCAATGGGAGATAGAGGAAATAAGAACATAATTTCTTACTGAAATCTTTGAGCAAGAAGCTAGACATATTCGATATGGTAGCCATTATTATAATTTAAGGGTGACTATCCAATTCCATAGTAAAAAGTAATAGCTACAACTCACAACTATGATTTAATTTTAGCAAAATATTTTTCTTGAAATTGGCTTTTAAAAGTAATACATCATCTAATGAAGCTAATTGAAATCTACCAAATAGCTTGGCTTATCACATTGTAAACAATGGTATGTTATTGCATCATCCTGATTTTCTTCAGGTTCTTGGAGGAAGAAGACATTTATAAGCTGTATATGTAATTAGATTGGCCTGTAGTAAGAACATGTACAGTTTTCAAGAAATATATTAGTGTCTTTATGTTATGGTATCATACTGGCTGGCAGAAGGAATGATTTGAGTGAACTGTGTATAATTAATTTTTTCTATGTTACATTTTTGGTATCTATTACTGTTCTATTTCTTAACTTAATTTAAAATTTTATTCTTACTATATTTATTGTATGTGATTTGGCACATAATACAGAGATTGGATTAGGATTAACTGGCTTTGGTATATTTTTCTCATTCCTTGGGATCATCTTCTTCTTCGACAAGGGATTGCTAGCCATGGGAAATGTAAGTTTCATTTACAAGTTTCTTGTTTAAGAAGTTGCTTCTCATTTGATTTTGCTTAATAACATATTTTCTGATGCCTTGTTATCTTTATGATGCTCAAATCAGATCCTGTTTGTTTCTGGAGTGTCCTTAACAATTGGGCTAAAATCCACTATGCAATTCTTCATGAAACGAAGTAATTTCAAGGTAAATTTACATTTTCTCTTTCTTTTCAATTTGTCTCTCATGCTCTCTTCATGTAAATTTTCCCCTCACCTTTTACTCTTCATTAAGGGAACAATCTCATTTGGTATTGGGTTCTTGATTCTCATCTTGGGATGGCCTATTTTGGGCATGATTATTGAGGCTTACGGGTTCATCATACTATTCAGGTTTAGTGCAATTTGAAACAAACTTTGTTGTGTTCGAGTGTGTTTATTTGATTAAAGCTAATTATGGGTTATACTGTGCAGTGGTTTCTGGCCTACACTGGCTGTTTTCTTACAGAAGATTCCTGTTCTTGGTTGGTTGTTGCAACAACCATTTGTTCGATCGGTATGTATTTGTAATGAATTGGAATGTCTTTACCTGTCATCTAAGTCTTAGCAGAATTATCTTACACGTTTACCATTCTGGGTGCTACCATATCAACAATTGGGTAGAGTAAAAGCGATACTATGTAGAGAATCTCAAACTCAAGTTTCCTGACACCGAAGCTAGAAATAAGAGGTTTAAGTTGAGGTTCAAATTTTTTTTCACTCTTTCAATGAGGCTTTGTTATACTAAAAATGAGGCAATATAGTCCCCACCTTTTTTTTTGGGGGTGGTGGTCCTTTGTTGCATGTATTTTATATAAACTCCCATTGTTTAAAAAATTATCCTGATAGTACAGAATGAAAAATCTGATGCTAATGGTTGGTTCTGCATAAATATCTGTCTAGAGATTGTTGACTGATAATAGAAGTTTTGCCGCGCTTTCTAGATGTTGGGGCCCTTTGCATTTATTTGCACAAGATGCTTAAGCTTTCAAACTGAGCTTGCTAATTTTCTGTGTACACTGTACATGCAGTTGTTTGACCGCTATAGAGGCAAACGAGTGCCCGTGTAAAGCAGGAATATATGGAAACATTATGTAACTGCTATCAAGCGCATTTGTAAGTCAATGTAAAGAAAATATTCATATGGATATTAAACTGTGAATTGAGTTTGCTTTCTGATGGTAGAAAATGACTTTCATTTTATCATGGTAGTCATTTAGTGGAGGAAAATTGCATAGGGAAAAAAAAAGGTTTTAGTTTTCACTTTACTACTTGTCCGGCTTCTTATGATTCTGATACTTAATGGAAAATCAATTGATCTCCGGAGTTGTCAGTTTCATTTACGCTACTATTCTAATCAGAGACATTTGGAAGCGTCGCTGCCGAGTTGATGATGGCATTTGTTCACACTAGTAATGATTTTAGAATATATAACTTTTTTCTTCCCTTTCTTTTTTTTATCCGTGTTTTTTTTGCCTGCCAATGTGAGATGGAATCGGAGCAATGCCATGGAATTCTACAATGTAATTTACCTTAATTCCTGTGTCATCTATTATTTCTTTCTCGGTCAACGTTTCATCTATTTGTTTTTTTGGGATTGACATCTATTTCTTCTCATCTTTCAATGCGGGGGGCTTTTATTTTTTTTCAAAAAACTAATGTTAATGACCTCAGCTTTTAAAAGAAACAAAATGGTATATCGATCAACGGTGATTAAAATGAATAATGGAATTTTAATTTTTTCAAAATATAATATATTATATCTGTCGTGGCTATAAGACATTGTGTTTGTCTCATGAAATTCACAAACATTGGAAGTGCAGGGAGAATCACATGAAGCTATAATTTTAAATTAAGAACATTATTATATCATGGGGAAATAAAAAATACAGACTATCATGGATTGTTTTCTATATATACGGATAATTACTAATACATGCATGCATGCATGGGATGGGAGAATATATTTATTGATTAATTATTTGCGACACGCATAGAGACTTTGGCTTGGATGGTTAATAACAAATAACAATATACTGCAAATACTTGTATGAATTTGTAGCAACAATTAATTAATCAGCTGAAGCTAGAGGGATGAGTTTATCTAGGCCAATTGAAACAGCACCGAACCGGGGGTAAGGAATTGGCAACATGGCAACCCATTCCCAAGATGATTCTTTATTCTGCGCCTCAAAGTCATCGCCAAATACCTTGTAAGCTGTAATATTATCATATCCTCTCAACATGTTAAGGCTTGGGAAAGGATTACCGGGCAGCATCACCCGCATCTTGATGCCATCACTGAAGGCATTACAAAGCTCAAGCCTAGTCAAATTAGGCAAGTCCACGAGAGATGAGGCAGGGTCCTTCTTCAGTCTCGTATTCATTAACTTCAATATAAGCAAGTTCTGTAGAGAGGAAGCACACACCCAACTGGGTAACTCCTTTAGATTTCCATTCAAATGTAATTTTTGAAGATGTGGAGGTGGAGACATATCTTCCAACTCAAATAAGCAATCAGTTTGAAGCATAAGAGAACGCAAATTGGTCAATCTAGAAATGCATGAACACACTTCTCTCCATTGTTCCTCTCTCAATTTAACCAAACCCAGCTTTCTTAATTGGGTCAACTTTCCCAGATTCATCATCCACTCACTCTTTTCTGGTGCTTCAAGAAAGCACAACTTTTGTAATGAACCAAACATTCCAATGTCACATGTTACCTTAACACCACATAATTCGTACGATGAAAAATATTCCAAACCTTCACCATTTAAATATACTACGCTCTTATCAAATCTACGCCTGAGAAAGCCTTCTCTTTCCTGACTGCAACAAGACATCAAAAGATGACTAAGATTTTTACGAAGCATTGATATCTCCTCAGGTAATTCAGCAACCAAGGTGTACCTGAGGTCTAACATTTCCAGCCTTTGCAAATTCCCAATAGACTTTGGAAGCTTTGAGATTTTAGTGTTTCTCAAACACAAATACCTTATAAGGAACAAGGTTGAAATTTGTGCAGGAAATAAATCTAAAGGAGCTCTTGCCAAATCCAACACACTAAGCAGCTTAAAGTTGAAGCCAATATCACCCCATAAAAAAACATCACTTGCCTTTGCCTTTTCCTTGTCATCAGGAATATTAAAGAATATCAATAGAGAACGAAGTCGTTGAGGCAATGCCAAAAGTAAGTTAACGTCGATGCCTCTCTTTATTGCATTTGCATGAATACATAATCGCTTTGCTCCAACTTCCATCGCATCTGCCATGTGAACAAACCTTTCCTCTTTTGACTTTGAAAGAACAATATCTCGTAGAAAGTCGTGGATGCGAAACCACTTCACCCTTCTACTGCCATCCTCTCTTTCTTTAACTATTTTTATCAAACTTCTGTTAACAAGCTCACACAAATAGCTGTCAGCATCTTCCTCCATCGTTAAGCAAATTCACCACCTTATTCTTTGTTGCATCTATGCCAACCAATTGCCTTTCGTCAACCAAAGCTGGAACATCCTTTCGAAACTGATCCATCGCTGAAGTGCCTTTGTCTGAGTTTGAACTCAAAGCTTGCTTGTAGAGTATGGAAGAAGGATCATAACCATACCTTTTTGGACGATCTGCTATTTCATTCACTCTGCCTCTGATTCTTTGCAGCTCAGAACCAATTTCGTGCCTGGCCTTCCACTTTCTGAAAGTGGAACAAATTCTACTAAAACAAGTGTTGTGTGCACGACCTACATCAGATCAGAGCAGCTATAATAGAAATTTTGGATCCAGAGAAATAAAATTATAATGCATAGTTTTTTAAGTAAACAAAAAAGAATATATTTAATGGAATGCATTTTACTGATACATGAGGGAGGATTCTAAATTGATGAAGTATGATATTATATTGTTCATCAGTTAACATTGAAAACAAGTTTTTAGGTAAATTCTAAGGCACCTGTGAATTTAAAATCGTATCAGTACCTTTTTACATTAACCAGTATATTAAGAGCAATGTTACTCTCTACAAAAATATAGATTCACTTTCTCCTTCCTAAATTAATTTTTTTACTGATATTTTTTTTTATAATTTTTAATAAATTTAAGTTAACATTACCACTTAATAACATTATACTGATACATCATAAATGCTTAGATAAAAGTTAGTTAACGATCGTTTATTTTTCTAAATTACAAAATGATATATTGGAAAACGTTGGATAAAAGATGAAATTAAACCTAATCCTAGATTAAAATGAATTGTTAACTACGTTGCTCAAAATTTATTATGTAGTCCACTGAAGATTGCTGAACAACGATTTTTAATTTACAATGAAAGTAAACCCTCTATTGTTGTGGTTGATTAAAAGCCAGATTAAAAAAATGAATACGTTGTTGTAGGAAAATCCTTGTAGGTGATATATATATTGAATCAAATACACCCATGAATTAACAATGGTCACCATTTTGACTCTCTTGGAAGTGATAAACTCTATGAAATTGGCTTTTTGCTGGGAGGCAGTGGTGATAGGATTGGCAGGTGATGATGATAGAACCGAAACAGGAAGTGAGAAGGGGTTATTATGTAAACAAAAAGTTATAAGGGTATATTTAAAAATAAAAATAAAATAGATGACATATATTAATGAAAAATATATGTCAAATATTAATTAATCCACATCAAATGGATACCCACATCCAATCAAATTTAAGGTTAACAAAGCAATCACCATTCTTTTTTTAATATCATTGATACAACTTTTAATTATCTAAAATTTTTGTAAAAGATAAATTTAAAATTCCAATAATCAATATTAACAAAATTAGAAAAATAATTATGATGAATTAATGTATAATACTTAAATTAATACTCTTTGGTTGATAGTGTAAAAAAATTTCATAATATTATATTTATAACTTATTTGATATTTATGAAAAAATTATTAAGATATATTTAAAGCGTTTAAAGGATTGTCTTCTCTTTGGCCTTAAAAACTAAATAGAAATTAATATATTTGTATTTTTATTGATATAATATAACTTATATTTTAAATAATATTTTTAAAAATAATATTGACATTATCACTGTAATAAATTATTACAAAACTTGTCTTTAAAATTTGAATAGTCTATATTATTATAATTGATTTTCCCACTCAATAATCTTGTATATATTCTTAAGTTATTATTAAAAAATAAAAAATCATTAAAATAAATATTTTAATTTTATGAATATAGAAAGACAAATATAAAGTTTGAAGAGATAATTATTTTTATAATAAAAAATTTAAAATAAAATACTACGACATAGGTTTTTTATAAAATAAATTAATTATATACTGTTTTATTTTAATTAATTTTGTCGTAATAAATATCTTGATAATGCTTTAAATATATGTTTTATAATATTATTTTATTTTGATTACACATGAATCCATATATGTGTTGAAGAGAGATAAATGTGAGAATGGTAATAAAATTGTAATAAAAATTATGAATCAATTTTATAATTTAAAATTAGATATTTTGGTTAACACGTCAGATAGAGCAGGTTGAACAGAAATTTTAATTATCTCAAAATAAAATAAGAGATAATTTTAAAATGTCAATGCTTAATATTAAAATATTATAGAAATAATGATGGTGAATCAATTCATAATAATTAAATTAATAATATTAGTAAATTTAATTTAAGAACAATTATTTATGATAATGATATTATTTAAACATTAGTGGAATATTTTTAAGTTTCATATAGTTACTTTTGAACAATTTCTTGTTTTTGGGAATTTTTTTTTAAAATTATTATTTCACTTAAACTTGTTCAAAATTATTATAAAATATCAATTATTGCATGCATAACTTAATATAAATATGTTTTATTTGATATATATATATATATATATATATATATATATATTATTGTACTTGTATCTTAATACTAACTTTGTTTTTATTTATTTATTCATGTAGAACTTTTAAGATAATATTAATTGTTATTCTTCTTTACTGATGCCCTTTTATTTATTTAAAATGTGTGTACAATTTGAGTAGTCCAAGAGTAAAAATAAAAAAATAAACTATTAATAAAGAGTAAATTTAATAATCAATTTTAACCAAATGATTGAATTTATTAGTCTATGTAATTTTTTTTTCTCTTTAGACAAATATGTGTGAACGAAAGTAGTATTATAAAATTTTGTATTTATGTATCATATTGAACCCAATATTTATATCTATCCATGCAACATAACTTTAAAGTTATCTCCCAAAATAATAATAAAATATCAACTAAAATCTAGCATGAAATAGGTCACCCAAAAGAGTAGTTTAGTGGCAAAGGTATGGTAGTACCTGCATCATCACTGCAAATAATTTGAAGCATGTAGTTGTCCACAACATCTTCTATTTCAAAAGCAACATCTCTCACTTGCTCCACCCATGGCTTAAGTCTTGGGTCCTTCTCTTGCTGGACATCAGCAAATCTTAGGAAAGCTTTCATAGTTACAAGTTCATCTTTAACCTTTTGAATTTCATCTTTAACCCCTCTCTGCAAAATCACTTCTTCTTTTATCACCC